AGGGAACACAGCTGGCGGCCCGCCTCCCCAGGCCTGGAGACCCTCTCCCAAGCACCACCCCCACGCCTCATCAAGACCCACCTGCCCGTGGAGCTGCTGCCGCCCTCCTTCTGGCGCCAGGGCTGCAAGGTGAGGGGATGTGGGGTCAAAATGGGCAGGACTTGGGGGAGGGGGTGGGGCCACATCATGAGCAGGGCCTGGCTGAGGGTGGGGCTTAGGGTAGGGGTAGGGCTAGGTGCGAAGGCATCCCTGGGCAGGCCCCAGGCACTGACCAAGCCTCTGGGCAGCTGGGTGACAACATTGGGGGCAAAGCTTAGACAGGAAGGGGCATGGCAAAGCCTTCCATCCCATGCCAGGTGCTGTACGTGTCCCGGGACCCACGGGATGTGGCCGTCTCCTACTACCACTTCTACCGCATGGCTCCTGTCCACCCCCACCCTGGGCCTTGGCCCCACTTCCTGGAGGAATTTCTGAATGGGAAAGGTCAGAGGAGGCGGGGCCAAGCCCAGAGATGGGCAGGGCTAGGGAAGAGCATGGCCAAGGAGGGGGGCAAGGGAGGAGGCCTGCCCGTTATGCATGGGGTTGGGCAAGGGGGCTTGGAGGAGAGCATGGGAGGCTGACCTGATCTTTGACCTCCCTGACCTCTGCCCCAGTGTCCTATGGGTCATGGTTCACGCATGTGAAGGGCTGGTGGGCAAAGGCAGCGACTCACCCCGTGCTCTGCCTGCGCTACGAGGACATGAAGGAGGTGAGAGGGGGCCAGCTCTACCAACCCAACACGGCCGCCATCCCAACCCAACCAACATGGACCCACTCCATGGCTGCCACACCTCACACCCTATCTACCCACCAGCCAGCATGGCTGCCACCCCTAGCACCCTACCCACCCTCCAACCAACATGGCCACGATCCCTAGCAACTTACCGATGCACCAAGATGGCCACCACGCCAAGCACCTACCTACACAGTAACCAACATGGCTGCCACCCATAGCAACCTACCCAGCCACCAACCAAGTCACCATCCCAGAATCCTACCCAACAACCAACATGGCAGCCATCCAATCACCCAACCCAACGCCCCACCCCCCAATGGCTCTGCCCATATCAAGATGGCTGCCTGACTCCGCCCGTCCCTGCCCCCAGGCACCAAGTCAGCAGCTGAACCGGGTGCTGACCTTCCTGGGCCGGACCCTGCCCTCCGGAGGTGCCACCGCCATCCTGGCTGCCACCTCCTTCACCACCATGAGGGCCAACCCCAAGGTCAACTACACGGCCCTGCCCCGCACCGTCATGGACCATGCTGTGTCGCCCTTCCTACGCAAGGGTAAGCCCCACCCCTGCCCCACATGCCCCGGTTCTCTGGAAGGGATCTGGCTCCTCCCTGCTCACCATTTTCCATCCCCACCCAGGTGAGGTCGGCGATTGGATGAACCTCTTCACTGTGGCCCAGGCTGAGGCCTTCGATGCCCGGTACCAGGAGCTCATGGCCGGTGTGGAGGGGCCGCCCATCCCCCCAAGCCCCACCCCTGGGGCTGACCCCGTCTCCCACTGAAGGATTCCCTTTCCCCCATCCCCCCCCCCTTCATAAATCTGCTGTCAGCTCACACCCCTGTATAGTCTTTGCAGGGGGTTGTGGGAGAGGGGGCCTGGCCGCCTGGGTTCTCCAGAAGCGGACTGAGTGGTGCCAAAAACCCCTTTAATTGACTAATGAATCAGTTAATTACCTGGCTCGTTACATGACTGGAGTACATGACTGTAGTACAGAAATCCCAGGCCCACCCTTACACAGCCCCACCTCCCTTGCAAGGATCAGACCCAGCAGGTTGGGAGCAGGGCCACAGAGCCCGGAACGTCGTCATGGTGAAGACCTGTTGGGGGAGAAAGCAGGGGGGGAAGGATTAGGGGAGCATTACCCCAAGATGGCCAACCCACATAGGCATGATGAAGTGGCAGACCAATATGGCCACCATGAGGGGCTGAACAAGACAACCACCAAGACAGGCACCATAAGGTGGCCAACCAGGAGGATTGCCATGAGCCAAGGTGGCCGCTCTGGAGGCCAAAATGGCTGCCGGATCCAGCATGGCCGCTATAATGCAGGAGGCCTTGCAAGGTGGCCTCCACTGACATCATACTGACCTGGCAACCCCCAGGGATCAATGCCAAGACGGCCACCCAAAAGGGCAAGATGGCCGCCCTAGCAACCCTGCCCTGGCACCCACACCATACCTGCGAGGGGGGCGGTCTTCCTGAGCCAGAC